ACCCTGCAAATGGAAATTCATTTAAATTTTTTTGAACAAACACAGATAGCTAAATACTAACTGTTGGATATCTTACTAGTTTAGCAAATGAGAGATGGATGTATCTTATAAATTTCGATGCTGCTTCAACATTCACCGTAAATTTTGCTAAAGGCATAAAATAGTAAGGAGTGAATACATATTATCCAATGGATATAGATGCAACTTTTGATAAATCGAGCAATTTAAGCTCTGTATATATGTGCAGCTAATATGAATCTCCTAGAAATCTAATTTATTCAAGACTTAGATATAATAATGCATTTTATCAAGTGATATAAAACCACACCTACTTAGGCTCGAATTTAGATGTCATAGAATGCTGAGGTATTTTTGGATACTATAGTGCTGTAGCTTATGGCTATATTTTTTATCCTAATACTTCAAAATTTTCCTTAATTAAGCTTAACTTTACTATACATCCTTTAAGCGTATTAGAGACGGAATTCAAAGCTATGAGTGGAGGTAATAATTTATTAAAGGCTACGGCCTTTGACTCAATCATTAATTCTTATATGGTCGTAAATGTTAAGAATATTTATGTTCGAGGCTAAAACTATAAGTAATATTCATAATATGTAGGAGCACTAATGTCTTATTACCAAGGGCAAAGCTGCTTATAATTAGATTATGGGTAAAACGGAAAGTCAGGGTAAAACGCTTCTTTATTGACTTTCTAGGACATAACTACGAGTGAATTTCAAGTTTATAATCAAGATGGTAATGATTTAACAACGGCCCTTATAGATATTACTTAAAATCTTAATGATTGGTGCACAGATTACCTGATTACTATTAATTAAGCTGAAAATTTTACTATCGAGTATAATCTCTATACTCAAGCTTAGTATTATGATATTCCAAAATACAGTACTAATCCTTAGTGTTATGATGCCAAATTTACACAATCATATTAGCTTGTGCATATGTCGAATGAAACTAATCCAGATGGTTCTTTAAAACTTCTTAATAAAGCATTGCCGACTTGTATTTAATATTCTTCTAGTATTAGTTAATTTGTAATAGAATCTAGCTCCTAAAATGAAGTTAACGAATATACTATATAAATAGTTGGAAAATTAGATCAGATTCCAACTTAAATATCTACAAAATATATTTTGATTAAAATCATAAATTCTTGCCTAACTTCTACAATTACTTAACAGCAATAAAATGATGAAGTATTTTACAAAAAACTGAATGGAACTTAGTAATACATCTTCAAGTCATTCAAATTTAGTAACCAATTTTGTGAGACAGTTATTTATCTTATCGATTCAGCAACTTAAAATAGTATTGATTCTTCAATATTTAACTACGATAACTCTACAGGCCTATATACTATATAAACTAATACCAATATTGCTGCAGACATCACAATTTATAGTTTAAATCTACTTGCTTATTACAAAGATGGAGATCCTTCAGCAGCAAAGGCATCTATGATGCTAAAAGTTAATTTTTATGATTGTTTAACTAGCATATTCTTGCCTTTAACCTATGGTAACATTATCTACAAGTTATTTGATCCAAAGTAGAATATTGCTTTAATTAATTGGACAAAATATTACTCATTCTATGAATGTGGAGAATATAAGCTGACTCCATAATTGCTGAATTAAACCACGAATTCTGTAATGACTCTTCCAATTATCTTCACACATGATAAAGCAAGCAACTGACTATCGATAAGTTCTAATGATGTGACCAATGAGGGTAATTACATAATTAGAATATTTGGCTAATTATAAAGCTACCCTTCAGTTTAAAATCACTCAGATTTTGAAGTAGAAGTAAGATGTTTTGTCAAAGATCTTACTTATTAAATTATCCCTACTTAGTTTTATCCAGTAAATAGTGATTAAATAGTACTGTAATTTGATGAATTTTAGAAAACTCCTAACTGCTAACATAGTATTTAATATTCTGCATCTGTTTTGGATTAAAATAAATTACTTTAGTTTATTTCATTCGATTAAAAAGAAAGAAGATTTAGCATTTACACTGATAATGAATATTTTGCCAATAACTATGTCATTAGAATCAATGCTTTTGTTTAAACACCAAAGATTTATAACTATAGTTACTATGAAGATTAAGATTTCAGTTTGTATTTGATATCTTAGAAATACGCAATCGCCAATGAAGGACCTCCTTATTTTGAAGAATAATTGAAAATTCTATATATGGTAGTAAATTAAGAATTTCTGTATACTCTACCTTAGATAAAAGAGCCAGATAATGAAAAATACACAATAAGTATGGATTTGGGATAGACTGGTTCCTTTACAAAGTATATTTATCCTAATCTAAAATTTGAACCAACTTTAAAAAATAATGGCACTTATATGATTCAGATTACTCTCGAAGACTCTAATATAAATAAGAAAAGCACTAAATATTTCCTAAATGTTGTTGTTTTATCGGAGGAGCAAGCAAGTAATGGATCCTATGGATTTTTAAATAACAAACTAAAAGTTATAAAATCTGGTTTCTCACCTACATTAATTCCAATTATTAAAACAATAGATCAGGCAGGTTTAATTAAGGTACGATTTACTGCAGAACTACTTTGGAATCAAAACAAAAGTTTAATTATTTTGGACAACCAAGTATTGAGTTTAAAAATACTTCCTTCCAAGCATTCTATAGTCTAAAATCTAGGATTTAATTGGAATGTTACGTTATTTAATAGCACAGAAATTTGGATTTAACTAGCTTTTGAAAATCCTGAAAGTATATCATAAAAAGTAATTCTATAATAAACTTATAAGTTATAGGGGAATGATTAGATTCAGATAATCTTTTTATAAAATGGTCTATTTTTAGATAAAAATACTCATTTATCTATTCCAAAAGACTATACTTTAGTAGGAAATCTAATTGCTACTAATCAAGGTATAATTTATTATTTTAATTATTACTTAATTAGATTCTTCTCAATTCTAATAAATTTTGCAGACTGCTTCTTCATCATTTAAAACAATAATGATTAGTAATTTTGCGCTTAACATCATAATGTAACAATTGATTTTAATAGACTCAAATTTAGGTCAGGATCTCTTTAGTACTTATGGGGAATGATTAATGTAATGTAAATAATAGCACATTTCCCATTGCTCAATATCAATTTTCCTGATAATGCTAAGTTACTCTACTCCCTCATTATATCAATATCTCAATTCGATATTCTCCCTACCGCATACTTTGATCAAGTTTTCTAATTCAGTGAAGAACAGCCAATTAATGATAGATTCTCTGATATGGATATCTTTTAATGTTTAACCTATTTTATTTGGCAAAAATGTTCCTAGCATACCAAGTTACTAGAATGAAAATGTGATTTAAAATCTTGGCAGTCTTTTCTATTTCATGATTGGAATTG